CGTCGTACGACGAAAATCGGATGCAGTGTGAATCCAGCATAACAAACGGTCGATAACAGGTGCGATCCACTTGGCGATATAAACACTTCGAAGCGTTTGATTGACCAATCGGAAGAAAGAATTTTACTAATTGACCAATCAAAAAATGCTCGAAGCATTTGTAGCATCAAGTGGACCGTAGCCTAAAATCAAAATTGATGAGCCTGCCTTGTGGTTTGACTTAGCAGTAATGCAGTGCTGCTATCTTGCTACAACAAAATTACAATACATTTTCTATTACTCGTATGATAAATGGACATAAAAAAATCTTATGAAAATGAGGAAATAAAAGAAAGGCTCTCAAATCATATCGTATTTATTGTTCTTGAAATATTAATCAACATTTGAGAGCATTATTTTTTTTATTTCTTCATATTTATAAAGTTTATTATGTCCATTTATCAATTGAGTAAGAGAAAATGTGTTCTAATTTTGCCGTGTCGCTGTAAGATAACAGCACAATTCATTTTTACATGTAAAAAGTAGATGAAATAGATCTATCCTATCCAAAACAAAAATATAGTATCTTGGCAGTAGATTCGGGATATGGTCAATGTGATGATGCGAACGCTTCGAAGTGTTTTTTAATTAGTCAATTTGTAAAATTCTTTCTTCTAATTGGTCCATCAAACGCTTCAAAGCATCTGTAGCGAGACTTTGACCACAGCCTCGGTTAAAAATTGCCGCGAATCAGCATCGGTTGAAAAAAATAAAAAGTTTGATTAATGTTCTGCCTTGAATTTTATTTTCTCAATTTATTTCATTTTTTCTAGCAATAAGTATAGTGTAGATCAATCTTACTCGTGCTGGTATAATGTGTGGAATATTTTGTTCTATATATCAATCTCAACAAGATTCTGAATCTTCTAAACAGGTATATATAATACAAACGTTATGACGAGTTGTTTATACAATATTAAAAATAAACACTGTAAAATTTGATTAGATCCTAAAATTTTCAAAGATGTAGAACTATAATTATATCATTTTTTTTTCCTATTAGAATGAGGCTAAAAAAATTTTTCTACTAAAATAGGACTAAGAAACTGAAAGTTTGACATTGCATTATCACGAAATTATTTAATTTTACAGGAACTGCAAAAGAGACTCGTTGTTATATGATATTCTTCATAATAGACATGTAAAGTATAGTTATTTTTTTCCTGATCTATTGATTCAATTTATCTATTTTAGTGGAATATTTGCAAGGATGTAATAACCGCTCGAGGTCCTGATTATTTTATGGAGAAACATTTGACTTTGAGTCATGACTGGCATGGACATTTTGCTGCCTCAGTGTTATGGATGCAAGGATCAAGAATAATGACACAGCCGAGTTTGGATGATAATGGTAACTTGTTACTTTGGAATGGAGATCTTTTCTCGGGTTGTTTGGTACGTAAATCAAATATGTATATGGAATATTCCGATCGATGCTTTCAATAAATATCATTAAAAATTAGAATAAGACTCGTTAAGAATTGTTTTTAATTCAAGGATATATAGAATGTTCCCCCAGTAAGTCATATATAGTATGTAAAAATAAAAACATTTTATAAATGTATTTTGTAAAAATTATAGAAATATCAACCCTGAATCCTTTGTTACTTTTGAACAAGAGAAATATAGATAGTCTCAAAACCCAATAGGTTTAGTAAGTCTTAAACTGTAAGAAATTAATCATAATCAATTATTCTCTTTACATTCAACTGTGAATGGCTAATATCTTACAGTTTAAGTAAAAGTTAAAGTTTACTATATCTATTGTGTTTCAATATTGAAATACATATATGTATTGTAACAATTCCAATTGCAACTGTACAACAAACTAAAATAATCATATTTGTTTTAGGCAAAAGACGATGTTTGTGATACAAATATTATATTGGCTGAATTACAATCTACTACAGATATCATGTCTGTACTTCGAAAAATTGAAGGCCCTTATTGTTTAGTGTATTATCAAAAATCGAGCAATATGTTGTACTTTGGACGAGATATTATCGGACGACACAGTTTACTTTTAAAAGTAGACAATAAAAGTAATTCATTAACTTTAGCTTCGGTTGCAAATAAAAAAATAAGAGAAATTGTAGAAGTACCGGCTATAGGTATCTTTGTAATGAATTTAAATATATCACAGATAAATTTAGCATGTTATCCATGGAAAGAACCTGATTTGAAATTTACGGATGTTATTGAAGTATTAGAAACAAATTTAAATGTAAATATTGATATTAAAGAAACTATATTGAATACTTGTTCGTCAGCATTAACTAATTTGTATCTGCATCCTGATTCAAAGGATGTGGAATATCTAGAAAATGTACCCTGTAATAAAGATTTCAATGAGATATTGCAATACCTGTTGAAAAATCAGGAGGTAAATGAAAGAGTCGAATGTTTAACAGAACTATTATATCAGTCTGTAAAAATTAGAATAAAGAAGAAACCAAATTATTGCCTGGAATGCATAAAAATTATACTAAACGGCGGAAATGTTACTTGTGCTCATTCCAAAATCGGTGTATTGTTTTCTGGTGGCCTAGACTCTGCAATTTTAGCAGCAATTGCTCACGAATACGTTCCAGAAGATGAAAGTATCGATCTTATTAACGTGGCATTTGAAAGATCTGGAAGCAAAAATCAGAGCATGAATCATACGAACAATGAAAAGGGGAATGTAACGCAGAACTATGATGTGCCAGACAGAAAAACGGGACGACAGACATATTCCGAATTGTTGCGAATTTATCCCAACAGGAAATGGAATTTTATAGAAGTAAGTACAATGTCTATGTTCGAAATATTTCTCAAAATATTTTCGGGGAAAAAAAGGGAAAGAACTCGTGGAACCATTTTTCTGATTGCAATGCTTATTTCAGTGTAACATCACGCAAATGGAATTGCAACTGTATCGTGCATCACGAATTTGTGATTTATTGCATCCATTGTGTACAATTTTGGACGAGAGTTTAGGATGTGCTATGTGGTTTGCAAGTCGAGCAAAAGGTGTCCTCTATCCAGCCAATGAAATATACGAATCGCCATGCAGGATATTACTTTTAGGCATAGGGGCGGACGAATTATTCGGTGGATACATGAGACATAGAACTATATTAAAGCATAAAGGATGGGATGCGCTGGTACAAGAACTAAATGTCGAATTGACTAGGATTTCCGAAAGAAATTTAGGTCGGGACGACCGGATTGTTTCTGATCATGGGAAACAATCCCGTTTGCCGTACCTCGATGAAAATCTGGTGAAATATGTGCAGCATATAAAACCATGGGACAGGTAAATTTAAATGATGCTAAACAATTTGTGGATTACTACGAATGAGTATATGTACAATTATTGGTAGATGCTATCCGACAGAAAAAATGCCAAGTGGATTGGGAGATAAGTTACTATTACGTTTGTTAGCTTGCAAGATTGGTTTTCAATGTACGGCTAACTTTCCTAAAAGAGCTTTCCAATTTGGATCGCGAATTGCAAATAGTAAAGAAAATGGTAATGATGTATCAAACAGATTATAAAACGTAAGTAATATATTGTTAACGCAAGTATTATTAATTTATTACTACAGTTACTATTATTTTCAAATTGAATAAAAAGAGTGAACGATTTCTGCTGTGTTGTAGCCACAACTATCCTGTTGCTAATAATTTTAATGATACTGCATGTGTTGAGCTTTAATAATTATATATATATATATTGTAAATAAATTAGTATACGTAATTATTTAACATATCTATTATAGTGTATCTCATGGATCGTCTACAATGGAAATAATATTGCATAATAAGCAATAAGATCGTCATCGCGATTCATTTTGATTTTTTTATTTTGATTATATTTTTTATTACTTATTACAACTTTATTCTTTTATTTTCACTATTATCACTCGAAGTAAATGTTTATAAGGTAAATCGTAATTTTGTAAGTATACATTCTAGCAATTTTATATTAAATGAAATATAATAAATTATTAGTATTGATGGTATAGTATGATTATTTTATCTCAGTCCGTTATGAGACACCGATGTAAATAAGGATGTAAATATTTAGTTCGCACCAATTTGATACGCGTACTAACCAATTTAACGGTTTAAAAGGGGTCTATATTAGTATTTTCAATACTAATGTAATAATATAGTATTTATATATTTATTAATACTACCCGCGTGTAATATTATTTAATATTAAGTAATATTTTATTGGCGTATTTTTAGAATATGTTATATGTAACATTTTAATAACATTTTACTATTATATAATATTCCTGAAATATACATACTTTCGTGCACTTTTATGCACCGACATTTCAATAACAAATAAACCTGTATTAGACTAAAAAATACAAAAATTAATTCGT